CCTCCTCCTCCTCCTCTTCTTCCTCTTCCTCCTCTGCTTCTTCTTACTATTATCAGTAATATTATTAGTATTATTCTTATTATTCGTAATATTATTGCATTCGTATCATTATTATGATCCGTCTTCGTCTTCCTCTTCGTCTGCGTATTCATCCTCCTCCTCCTCCTCTTAATCCTCTTCCTCCTCTGCGTATTTTTCCGATGACTCTTTTTATCATTAGTATTATTATCATTCTTATTGTTATTAGTATTATTATCAGTATGCTTCCTACTATTATGATTCTTATTCGTATCACTATTACCATGATCATATTATTGTCGTATTATTATGATTCGTCTTCGTCTTCGTTTTCGTCTTCCTCCTCCTCCTCCTCCGCCTCCGCCTCCGCCTCCGCCTCCGCCTCCGCCTCCGCCTCCGCCTCCGCCTCCGCGTCCGCCTCCGCCTCCACCTCCGCCTCCTCCTCCTCCTCCCTCCTCCTCCTCCTCCTCCTCCTCCTCCTCTCCCTCCTCCTCTCATCATCTCACCATCTTCATCATCATACTCATCATACTCATTATGCTCATCAACATCATCATCATCATCATCAGCAGCAGCAGCATCATCATTACCATCATCATCAACAGCATCATCAGCATCATCAGCATCATCAGCATCATCGTCATCGGCATCATCTTCATCAGCATCAGCATCATCATCACCATCAGCAGCAGCATCAGCAGCATCATCATCATCATCAGCAGCATCATCATCGGCATCATGATCAGCAACATCATCATCACCATCAGCGCAATCATCAACAGTCTCATCACCATCATCATCAGCATCATCAGCATCATCATCAGCATCATCGTCGTCATCGGCATCATCATCAACAAAATCGTCATCAACAGCATCATCAGCAGCATCAGCATCATCATCACCATCATCAGCAGCATCATCAGATTCATCATCAGCAGCGGCAACCGTATCATCAGCATCATCATCCTCATCAGCAGCACCATCATCGTCAGCAGAATCATCATCACCATCACCACCATCATCATCAGCATCATCATCAGTACCACCATCATCATCAACATCCACATCCACATCCACATCATCATCCTCATCATCATCAGCAGCATCATCATCCTCATCATCATCTCATCATTATCATCAGCATCATCATCATCATCATCAGCATCATCATCTTCATCATCCCAGGCACTTTTGAGCTGTGGCGCTCAGGGATCGGTGCTTGTGAGCCACAGGCGCTGCGAGCCACGGCGCAGAGGAACGCCCTGCTTGCAGCACCTCGAAGCTCGGAGACGAAGGGGGGCAGGTGGGTGACGAATGAGAGCCAATGCGCATCGTCAAAGGGCATATGTGGCAGGCAATGCCTCCTCCTCCCTCCTCCTCCTCCTCCTCCTCCTCCTCCTCCTCCTCTTCCTCCTCCTTCTCCTCCTCTTCCTCCACCCCTCCTCGTCCTCCACCTCCTCCTCCATTCCTTTTCCTTATAGATAGCTTCTCCCTGTCGCACCCCGAGGCCGGTCAAAAGGGCGTGCCAGGCGTTTCGCCTGAGACTTCCTCACCGCTTATGACCCTGAAGCTTCAAACATGACAAAATGTTTTGAAAAAATGCGAGGGTTTCACGGATTGAGGGCGGGCGGTTTTCAAAGTGTGGCTCTCGCCTTAGCGCCGCGCACGCTCTCTTTTTTACGTTATATGATATCACGGATGAAAGGCGGCTCGTTGTCAACATGTGGCTCTCGCTCGCTGTAGCGCCGCGCAGATTCGTTCCAAAAGTTTACAAAGAGCTTCACGGCTTCCCATGGGCAACGTGCCCGGAATGGCGTTCTGGAAGCACTCAGGATTGTGAGGGCGCAACAGTTGCGTTGATTCGCGGCGCTGGAGCCCCGCAACGGCCTTCTGGTACAGTTCAGGACCGTCATGACGAAAGAATCAGGTTGATCCGTGGCGTTGGAGTCCCGAGAATGGTATTCGGGCATGCTTCAGTCTTCGAACGGTTGTCTCCAAACGGGGCCGTTCCCTCGGTGGAAATGAACCCTTGTAGGGATCTGTGAGGAGGGAGCTTGGAGGGAGGGTTGATTCCAATATCGTTGATGAATCCTGGGTTTACACTGGTCCTCCTCCTCCTCCTCCTCCTGGCACGCGCTTTCGAACTATTGCGCCCGGGGGGCGGCGCTGGTGAGCCACAAACACAGCGAGCCACGGCGCACAGGAGCGCCCCGGTGGCAGCACTTCGAAGCTCGACCCACAACCCATTACGGCACACGCCTCACGCGGTGCGTGGTCCCAGAGGGAGCTCTGCCCCAGGCTGCAGTGCCACTGGTCGCATGCGTCTTCCCCGCCCTTTAGGGCACACCTCGCACACAGTTCGGTGCCCCATGGGAAGCTCCATCCATGTCCCCAGCGCCACCGTTCGCATGCGTCTCCCCCGCCCATTGCGGCACACACACACACACTCTCTCTCTCACACACACACACGCGGTGCGTGGCC